GCTCCCATTGATCCTCCTGCACCTCCTGCAACTCCACCACCGGCTTTTGTAAAATTCAAGAGAGGTGATTGTTTTAAACGAGCCATTATTCATTGAATTGTGATCGTTAGTTTGAGATATAACCTAACTGAGAATACCACGGGCTGTTTATGTTGTAAATAGAATATGTCTTGTTGATACTGCCACATTTGGATTGTCATAAGTTCATCTTTCAGTCTTTATTACAAATCATCTCGTAAGATAACCTTGTTTACAGTATTTAGACAGATCTGTGTTCATGCTCTTGTAACCACTGCCAAACGTTGGGGGACAGAGTAAATGAACTTTGGGAGAGATAATTCTTATTAAATCATAAAGAAAGAAGAGTACAATATTGGGAAAGATAAAAAAAAAAATGAAGAATAGAAAAGAAAGCAAACACAACAAAAGAGTGTCAGTGAATGTGTTGTTAGTGTAGATAATGTTGTAAATGTTAATGTCAAGCTGTCCGTTTGCTGTTATGTTACAAAAACCGATCGTTTCCTCGAAGAAAATGCGCTTAAGTTTTCTCCATCAGCTCTGCGTACTGCACATCTCGTTATCTTTTTATGATATCTCAGTTCAATCAGTTGATAGAATAATATAAGATTCTGTCCTTTTTTGTCCAATTATAATTACAGGAATAGACTGCCTCATTCTCTGATATAGTTTTCGAATTATTCCTTACAATGGTCGTTCACCCTTCCTCTCTTTTCTTTCAACTTAAGTCTACCATCCTTCTTGCTATTTCCCAGTTCAGCACTTGGTGCTTCCCAGAAGATAACTTCCAAGACATGCACCTGTTCCCCTTCGTAGCCCGCAGTCCACGGTCAGTATCCAACTGAAACCTCCAGCAACACAATTCAACATGTCCAAAAATTCATAACTTTAACTTATCTCAAATTGTCACCATCTCAAACCATCAGTGATTGCGATATTCTTAAATGTATGAAAGGCCGAATATATAATCTATGAAGCTCAAACATTTTCTCCAAACGATAGTCAAGATTATTGCACCCTTTCCTCCTGCTAACGCTTACTCTAGATAACACCTTTTACAATATCTTCATCACAGCCGAAAAGTAGCAGTAATAGATTCTGAAAATCTCCCTGGCATTCCACTCGCAACGTTTGATCCCCCAGATGATCCAGGAACGCCTACTCCTACAGAGCCACCTACACCACCACTAATTAAAGCTCCGGAGGAGCCTCCATTAGTGCCGCCTGTTGCACCAACTACTCCCACAGATGATCCAGGAACGCCTACTCCTGTAGAGGCACCTGCACCTCCACCAGTCATAGATTCTGAGGAGTCTACAGACAAGCCACCTGTTGCACCCATTGCTCCCCCAGGTGGTCCGGACATGCCTACCCCTGTAGAGCCACCAGTACCTCCAGCAATCATAGCTCCTGAGGGACCTTGGTCACCAGATGCACCAGTTATTCCACCGGATAACCCGGAAATGCCTACTCCTGTAGAGCTGCCCGCTCCTCCACCAAGTCATGGATCCTAAGGAGCCTCCTGTCATGCCATTTGGTGCGCCCATTGTTCCAGCAGATGGTCTTGACATGCCTACTTCTGGCAATCCACCTGTACCTCCACCCGTTATAGATCCTGGGGAGCCTCCAGCCATGCTATTTGATGCACTAGGTGCACCCCCAGATGATCCAGACATGCTCACCCAGGTAGAGCCACTTGCACCCGCAATCGTCATAGATCCAGAAGAGCCTCCTGTCATGCCACCAGTTGTACCAGTTGTGCTCCCAACTCCTGTAATAGATCCTGAAGAGCCCTCCATCATGCCCCCCGTAGAGCCCCCCATACCTTCAGCAGCGGAAGACCCTGTAGAACTGACGGCAATCCCACCTGTAGAGCCAGCTGCACCTCCACCTGTCATAGTTCCTGAGTAGCCTCCAGTTACGCCACCAGATGCACCAGTCGTGCTCGCTGTTGATCTAGGAATACCTTCTACTGTAGAGCCGCCTCTACCTCCACCAGGCAGGGAAGAAGAGCCTCCAGCCATTCTGCCTGTTGCACCATTTGGTAAACCAGATGATCCAGGAATGCTTGCCGCTGAAGAGCTACCTGTACTTTCACCAGCTGTAGTACCTGAGCAGCCTCCAGCAAAACCACCTGTTGCAGCCGTTGCTCCCTCAGATGATCCGGGAATGCCTACTACAGTAGAGCCACCTACACTTCCACCAGTTAAGGATCCTGGCGAACCTTCAGCCATTGCTTCAGATTTTGCTTCCAGAAGCACTTCCTGTTTAATAGTGTTACTTAATGAGCTTGGTATATCCTTTTGCTTTTGAAGGATTTATTCCCCTCTTGTTTTCACGACTATATGTTCCCACAGGTTCCTTATTTGCAGGATACTGGTTTCAAATTTCACTCTTGTAGTTCTCTGATCTGTATAACAACTGTCAGTGGTGTTAGGAATAATCAACGTGATCCACAAGCGACAAAAGCCCAATAAAATATATTTTTTCCTTGGATAAACCGGGAACACATGCCGTCAATGTTATCCTATTATCCTATTCCATATAGATGAAATTAAGCTGACTTTATTCTCTCAGATAAAAAATTAATTTCCCGCCATTTTCTGAAGAAATAGAAACTTAATTGTTTGATACGTTTCATAGGTAGATAATTATCAGTGAAAACATTGTGTCTCGTATGGGAGTAATGTACTCTAATTTCCATCAAAACAAGTCAAGGTATCCTCTGGCGGTTCCCGTAGATCCTCCCGCGCCAATCGTTCAGGGCCCATCTGTATCCCTATCTCCATCTTTATAAAATATCAAAATATATTGGGAAAGAGGACAAAGTAACTGAAACCTGATTTGTGAATAGATGGTTTTTTGATAACTTCCTTTCAGCCAGGTAGTATCGAAATCAATTATTTGCTTATCCCTGGCCAATAACTGTCAGTGGTTGTTCAAGGCATTTAATTTGTTTGAAATAGACTTTTAAATAAACTTAGAACACAACATTACTTAGTGCAACTCCTCAGCCATATGTGGTCGACATATATTTTGCGCCCGATCTCGTCTAGTGATTTTATGACTAATCTATTTCAAATTACACTTCTTTTACAAGACAATTAAGCAGTGTGCGCCAAGCTATTTAACGATAATAATTTCCAACATATTTTTTCAGGTACTGAGGATCGGAGGAGTCAGATCGAGGTTGACTAGTATAAAGAACTGAAGTTAATCTCATCCATTTGTTAGTCGGGATAACATTTATGTTCCCTCATTTGCCGCGCTCTATTGTAGAAAATCTTCAGTCATTCCTAAAGTGTAGATACTCTTAAAAAGATATATTACTTACCAGTGGCGACTTGACCAACAAGCGATGCAAACAGAGTGGAGAGTGTTGCAAGCTGGCTGTAATCGGCTGCTATCTGAATATAGGATTCTTCTGTAGCCATTGCTGTCAACTGGGTTTTGTCAAAGAATCTTCCCATGCCGAGACAAAATATTTTAACTCCGGCACTCCTTAAAGATTCAGCTACACCCGAGACTTCGTCTGTTGATTTCCCTGCCATCATTACTACCAGGATTTTAGCGGCATTTTGACGTGACTGGGCAAATAATTGTGTTTGACATGTACTTAGACCTTGTCCCGCAGCGCACGCTCCTCCAACCAATTTCATATTTCCGATAGCATCGTCAACTTCCGATGCCGAACTGTATTTGCTGAAGTCAAAGGAAACGGAAGCTGATGCGCCGAATAATACTAGTCCAATGCGATATCCCGACGCCGAAATGGTGAAGCTGCCATAGACTGCCTTTATAAACGTAAGGCACAGCTGGAAATTTGCATCGCCACCTAGACTGCTGGAGGCGTCGAGCATAAAAGCCAGATCAACGGCCCCTTTTAAGAAAGCATGTAATATCTTAGACTGTTTTGTCATGAGGATTGCAGATGTTAACTTGTAAAATTTGGAGTTTCGTGTTCAATCGAATCCTTCGCTCGTATAGCTGCCAAATCTAATCAAGATTAAAAGTTGACAGAGCAGACCCGCTAGGCATAGAATCACGAAACCGTTCTTCTGATCCTTCCTTTAATCATCTGATATTTAAATATAACTCTGAAGGTAATGTCTTTCCTATCTTTAGACCAACAGCAAATTTATTCTTGCCAAACTACCTTAAGCGTTCAATTTCTAGTCGTGCGATTGATCTAATGCTCTTGCTATGCACCGAACATCCCATTGTTGATTTCTAAAATGCTCTGAAGTTCCCGCGCGTTACATGTACCACCAAGGTGTCATTGTTTCGTGTAGCTTGCAAAAAAATCCATGCATCTATACCGTAGTAATGGCAAGCATTCAAAGTCTAGCTACCAAATGAACTCCAAATACAACCATCAACTGACCAAATCACAGTCTTGCTTGGCACAGAACATTATGATAGAGCAACGATTGAAAAACCTAACTAATTGTATAATGGGTGTCAGAATTGAACTGAAAATAGTAGACTAGTAAATTTATCACGATCAGCGCAAAATTTCTCTTGGAATACAGAAACGTTACGAAAGTTGCATAAAAGACAGCTATTCTGTTATGTTATACTGTCAAGGAATGTTTGGCAGTTTAAAGAAATTATTCCTCACTTAATTCAATGGTCAGCCAAGCATCGTCAGAACTATGCAAAGTCGGTAAAACTCTTGCAAGCTGTGGGGTCAGAAAATGTCTTGTATGCTGGAGTCACTGTTTAACTATTTGTCATCCAGTCCAAAATATTTATATTTACTATCCTGTAGGTAATAGTAGTTTGTGTTGCTCAGTGAAATACAACGAAAGACATTCCTCTGGTAGATAATTAATGTTATTCTAACAAATGACGGGTATCAAATGACTAGATGGACCTACCACCCACTCCTCCAGCGGCACCTCCCACAGATCCTGCGGATCCTCCTGCTCCACCAGCAGCCCCACCAGCAGCTCCACCAGCTGAAATCCCTCCGGCTTTTTTACATTGTTGCAAATCAATGAAAAACAAACTATTATTATGGTATGAAAAATGCACAACCTTGACTTGACGGAGCTATACCTAACCATTATAAAAATCTATATGTAAAGGTATAATAATATGCAAATCATCTGGTTAGAGCAGTTTTCAATTGTCTGGAATGTAATCAGGCGGTTTGATTCTGGCCGAGTGGTCTAATTGGTAAGTAATTGGTTTGGTTTTGGTTTTACGACATCCGTTTGAAAACCACTCTAATGGCCTTAATTAGAGCTAATTAGATTACATTTAAATAAAGTTAGAATCAAATTAAAATATCTATTAGCAGAAATTAAAATCAAAGTCCCGGCTTTAGTGTACAACATTAATAGGAAGGTCCACTCGTGGTTAGTCTCTAACGGAAAGTTATGCTAATAATTGCAAATCAAACGTTTTACCATATTTTTAAACCTGACGCCAGAGGAAGTTAGATGTTAGGTTCGCTTCTAAATAAAAGGGGCTTTTTTTCTCACTCATTCTTCCGTTACGAAACATTAGTGTATTCCTTAATTTCGATTCTTACCTGTTCTAATTAGGCTGATGAACTGCTGCGAAAATCCAGACAATTCTGCAAAAGAGGACACTGAAAGAAAATAATCGGGTGACGAGGCCATAGCTGTCATTTGCTCTTTTTCAAAGCTATCTCCCATACCAAGACAGAGAATTTTGACACCAGTCTGTTTCAGTGCGCTAGCCGAGCTTGTTACAGAGTCTGTAGATTTTCCTGCCATCATTACTACCAGCAGACGCGCAGTAACGCTCACCCCAGCTGCTGCTCCTCCAGCGGCGGCACCACCGGCGACCCCGCCGCCTGCAGCTGCACCGCCTCCGCCAGCGCTTGCAAACAGAGATGATTGACATTTGGAAAGTCCTGCTCCTGCGGCACATGATCCTCCAACTAGTTTTACCTGCGTAAAAAAAGCACAATTTTAGTAATTTCAATTTAATTTATTGGACGCTGGCGTTAGGTTCTCTGTAATTCCCACTGTACGGCAGAGATGCAGCACAGACCACGTGAGTTTTTGTTAGGGAGTAGACAGAACTGCCAAATGTTACCGAGTACAGGCTTCGTTAATTTAACCTATTTTTAGACATAAACTTTTAGATTTATATCTTACGCACCTGACCCAAAGCACCATCAAGGTCTGAGATTGATGAATATTTGTTGAAATCGAATACAACTTGGGAGGAACTTCCAAAGAGAACCAAAGCGAATCGTATTCCACCTCCCATACCAAAGACATGAAATACAGTCTTGATAAATTCGATACACAACTTGAAGTTCGCTTCTCCTTCTAGACTGTCGGAAGCGTCCAGCATGAAGGCCAAATCACACGAACCTACAAAATAGTTTAACATTTCTTTTTTTACTGAAATAACTAAGGTGCGATTTGCTTTCTTAAGAGTTTCTTAAAGGATTCACCAGGAAAGTAGTCGATTACATAGCTTTTTGAAACGATTAGCAATGAAAGTGCCCTGGGAACAGTTCCTTACCATTGCAATTCGGACTCGAATATTGTATCAGTTGTTTGAAATGACTAAATAACGTTTATTGTTTTCAAACGATTAAAAGCGCGGATTACGGATCACTTAATTAAATGATGCCACTAAGATCCTGGATCAAAATTATAGAATGCTTATTCTGTTATAAATATAAATTTAAGAATGCTTGTTCTCTTTAACAAATAGATTTCATGTTTCGGTGCGTCTATTGAGTAACTGATTACGGATGACATGAAAATGCGGTAAGAAAAAACAAGTGGCACAGGAGGCGCCAAATTCTGACACTTGTGTGATCAATTATTGAACAGACGCACGGCATCATGGAATCTACTTTTTAATTTTACAGAGAAACAACACCAAAAATCTTAATGACGTTATCTATGCTTCTGACCTACAATTGATCATAAGTAAGAACTGATCAAAATGCGAGAATGATTTGACTCATTATATAAATTGGGTATAAGAGCACATTTATGTAACCTGAGCAGTACTTTTTCATCCGATTCGTTCCTTTTAAAGCGCTAATGAATTTTACAAAGTTATTTTAGACGGAAAAAGAGACTTTATACCTCCACCTCCACCTCCACTGACGCTGATGCCACCGGCTAAAAAAACGAAAAAGATAAACAAACGAAATAAGCATAAACAAATAAGCAAGTAGGAAAAAAATCACTTTAATTTCGTACTTCTCAATGTGAGACCTTAATTAAGTATGATGGAAGGATAGTGTTATTCATAGTATGAATGAAAGAACTATCCTTATCAAAATTAGAGATTACAAACAGAGCAATTGATTTGAACTATAACATGGAAGTATTCTGTGAGTCTAAGAAGCAATATCTGCTAAAATGTGATTTCGTAGAGTGCGTTAGCAAAGTTTATTAATTATAAGGGGGCTATATTGAATGAATTGATTATGACTACAGTTAAGAGTAGATTTATAGCTTTCAGTAAACTTGAAAACAGCATCTTGTGTACCATGAATTGAACTTAAGCGTGCATGCATTCCTTTAAAACACAGAATTGTCTCAGTAGTTCTTTAGGGAACTTCCAGGGTTTTCATGATAGTTATAGTTTGGGGGTGATAAGTTGATTTTTGTGTTGCCGCACTCTGCAGAAATCGATAGCTCACATGACTGGCATCACACAGGCCACATGAACACGATATATAAAATCTTGTCTATTTATACTTTACGTTTTGATCCGCTGTGTCGTCACACGAATATGGTTACTGAAAATGTTGAGTGAAACAACTGATTTACTCTTAAAATCGACTCATTCCAAGGAAACTCCAAAAATGCAATTTCTGCATCGCTTTGCAAACACTGTCTGGCCGGATCAGGTGTTTGCGAGAGGAGGCAGGGCTGCTATACAAGAAGCCACCTACATGTACCTACGTCATTTCACAGTTCATCAGTGTATAAAGAAACAAATATCTACCAACTTCCTAAATACTAAGCAAAGAAATCTTAGTTTAATAACAAAGAAGTAAAATTGTCGCAAAATTGCCTTGACATCGTATCGTACCTTTTGATATAAGGCCGGTGATGCTCCCACTTATACCAGCTAAACCGCTGTACGAGGTAGTCGTTTGAACATAAGAAGAAGAAAATGCCATAGCGGTAAGCTGTGACTGAACGAATGAGCTTCCCATTCCAACAGCAATTATTTTGACTCCAGCTGATTTCAAGGACTCAGCAGCACCTGCAACGTCGTCAGATGAACTTCCAGCCATTAGAACAATCAAGACACGTGCTTTCCCTCCTGCGTCGCCCTCAAATAGTGCCGATTTACATTGAGAAAGAGCAGCGCCTGCAGTACAGCTACCACCAATGAGCGTGACACTGGAGCAGGCTGAGTCAACTTCCGAGATCGAAGTATACTGGCTAAATCCAAAGACGACCTGAAAGGGACATCGTGTTGTGTTCCTTGTGTAAATGAGGCCTATCTCGTTTACAGTATTGTTTCAATGAGCCACGCAACACATTCCATTAATATTTAACAAACAGATTCCATGTTGCCGTGTGTCTGTTCATTAATAGATCCCAGATGACGTCAAAATGTGGTAAGAACAAAAAAGTGACACACGAGGCGATAGCCGAGTGTGTCACTGATGTTCTTACCACATTTTTGACGTCTTCTGTG